CATATAGAAGCATAGGGAGAGAGAGGAGAGGGGAGGAGAGGGGAGTAGAGGGGAGAGAAACTCAGAGCATCATGGGGCCCCCAGCAGCCTAGGCCTATAGCAGCATAACTAAGGGAGGGCTCAGGGTCACCTGATCCAGCCCTAACTATAAGCTTTATCAAAAAGGAACGTCTTAAGTCTAATCTTAAAGGTAGAGAGGGTGTCCGCCTCCCGAACTGAGACTGGGAGTTGGTTCCATAGGAGAGGAGCTTGATAGCTAAAGGCTCTGCCTCCCATTCTGCTTCTGTGGATTCTAGGAACCACAAGTAAACTTGCACTCTGAGAGCGAAGTGCTCTGTTAGGATGATAAGGCTCTACGAGGTCTTTAAGATATGATGGAGCCTTGTCATTAAGGGCTTTGTATGTTAGGAGAAGGATTTTGAATTCTATTCTGAATTTTACAGGGAGCCAGTGGAGAGAAGCTAATATGGGAGAGATATGATCTCTCTTGCTAGTTCCTGTCAGTACTCTGGCTGCAGCATTTTGGATTAACTGGAGGCTTTTTAGGGAATTATTGGGACATCCTGATAGTAAAGAGTTACAGTAGTCCAGCCTGGAAGTAACAAATGCATGGACCAGTTTTTCAGCATCACTTTGAGACAGGATGCTCCTGATTTTTGCAATATTGCGCAGGTGAAAGAAGGCAGATCTAGAGACTTGGATTTTGTGTGATTTAAAGGACATATTCTGATCAAAGATGACTCCAAGGTTCCTCGCAGTAGTACTGGAGGCAAGAGCTATGTCATCTAAAGTAACTATATGGTTAGACAGCAGATTTCTAAGGTTTTCAGGCCCAAGCACAATAACTTCAGTTTTGTCAGAGTTTAGAAGTAAGAAGTTGCAGGTCATCCAGGCCTTTATGTCTTTAAGACATGCTTGAAGTTTGACCAGCTGACCTGATTCATTTGGCTTCATAGATAAATATAACTGAGTATCATCTGCCTAGCAATGGAAATTTATGTTGTGCTTCCTGATAATATTGCCTAAAGGGAGCATGTATAAAGTGAAGAGAATTGGACCTAACACAGAGCCCCATGGAACGCCGTGACTAACTTCAGTTTGTGTAGAACATTCGTCATTAACATGAACAAATTGAAATCTTTCTGATAAATAAGATTTGAACCAACTTAGCGCAGTTCCTTTATTCCCAATAACGTGTTCAAGTCTCTGCAGTAAGATGCTGTGATCATCAGGGTCACCTGATCCAGCCCTAACTATAAGCTTTATCAAAAAGGAACGTCTTAAGTATGCTTTATAATTTGTAATCAAGCATGATTTACAACAGACTGTGGCTGAACCCATCTTTTTTGGCACGTTCTGATATAAATTACAGAAATCTGAGAAGAAAACAGTTTCTATGTGAAATGTGATATGTTGTACACCATAGCACACATTAGATGTTGTTGTAATCTTTGCACTTTTCATATGAATTACTTGAAATGTGACTGCAACATATTAAAATAAACAAGAAGGCAGAGGCATTCTTGGCCCGGTCATAGGGCAGTGGTTGCTGTCAACCTGGAGTTTCTGGTTAATTTACCGGGCACCTTAAATCACAAGCCATTTAAATAGGTCATTTTTAATAATGGGCTATTTTAATTTGGGTTGTAATTCTAATGATATTTTACTTAGTTTTAGGAATATGTGCGTTTAGTTGTTACTATGGTTATATTTACAGTCTTATGCAAAAGTTTAGGCACCCAATTGATAAATAACAGATTTTGGTGATTTTTTATTTGAACAGATGTTAACACAGTTTTTCTTGGAAATGGAAAAAATGCACAATATTTTCTGCAAACAGTGATGCATAGTTACTTCTTATGCCATAAATTGAACAAAAATAAAAAATAAAAACATTATTATGGCATGGTGCAAAAGTTTGGGCACCCTACACAATCAGTACTTAGTAACACCTCCTCTGGCAGATATCACAGCTTGCAAACGCTTTTCATAGCCAGCTAAAAGTCTTTCAATTCTTGTACTTGGGATCTTCTCCCATTCTTCCTTGCAAAAGGCTTCTAGTTCTGTAATATTCTTTGGTCGTCTTGCATGCACAGCTCTTTTAAGATCTACCCACAAATTTTCAATGATGTTTAAATCAGGGGACTGTGATGGCCATTCCAAAACCTTCAGCCTGCGTCTCTTGAGGTATTCCATAGTGGATTTCGAGGTATGTTTAGGATCATTGTCCTGTTGTAGAAGCCATCCTCTTTTCAGCTTCAGCTTTTTTACAGATGGTGTGATGTTTGCTTCCAGAATTTGCTGGTATTTAGTGGAATCCATTCTTCCCTCCACCCGTGCAATGTTTCCTGTGCCACTGGCTGCAACACAACCCCAGAGCATGATAGATCCACCCCCATGCTTAATAGTTGGCAAGGTGTTCTTTTCATGAAATGCTGCTCCTTTTTTTCTCCAAACATGCCTTTGCTGATTGTGTCCAAAGAGTTCTATTTTAACTTCATCAGTCCACAGCACTTGTTTCCAAAACGCATCGGGCTTCTGTAGATGTCCTGTTGCATACTTCAGACGTTGGATTTTATGATGGGGACGCAGATAAGGTTTTCTTCTGCTGACTCTTCCATGAAGGCCTTGTCTGTGCAAGCATCGCTGCACAGTGGAACGGTGCACCACCACTCCTGAGTCTGCTAAATCTTCCTGCAGGTTTTTTGCAGTCAAATGGGGGTTTTGATTTGTCTTTCTGACCAGCATACGAGCAGTTCTGTCCGAGAGTTTTCTTGGTCTTCCAGATCTCATCTTGACCTCCACAGTTCCCCTGATCTGCCATCTCTTAATTACATTTCTTACTGTGGAAACTGCAAGCTGACAACGCTTTGCTATCTTCTTGTAGCCTTCTCCTGCATTGTGGGCATCAATAACTTTCATTTTCAGGGTCTTACACAGCTGCTTAGAGGAACCCATGGTTGCTGGGTGTCCACAAGTGTGTGCACAAGGTTTGAAGAGTCAAAGTATTTGTACAGCTTTGAAATTGGCATTTACCAATGACAGCTGTTGCTGTGCATCAGATCTAACGAGCTGATTAAGGTCTGATACCTTGTGAGAGACTTTGAGACTCTGGAACTCTTAGGGTGCCCAAACTTTTGCACCATGCCATAATCATGTTTTTATTTTTTATTTTTGTTCAATTTATGGCATAAGAAGTAACTATGCATCACTGTTTGCAGAAAATATTGTGCATTTTTTCCATTTCCAAGAGAAACTGTGTTAACATCTGTTCAAATAAAAAATCACCAAAATCTGTTATTTATCAAGGGGTGCCTAAACTTTTGCATAAGACTGTATTCCTGATCCTGGAGAAACACCTTTTCATTTTGCCTGCACTACTGTTGTACGTACAAAAAAATGACAATACAGTTTGATTGATTTGATAATCTTATGTCTTAAAGCCTCAAATTTTGATAAATGGAAAATCTTCCTTTTGTTGAAGAGGCCACCTTTGAGTGATATTTGATCAAGTCACAAGTGAAAAATCACTTTATATCCTTTGAATCAGGCACCAATTCTCAGCAAGTTTAAGTTCAAGAATTATATTTATAGTTTCATCTTTTTTGAAAATTCCTGAACTTCAAAAAATTTATATTCATGCCTTTGTGGAAAGGAAATATTATGTGCAAAGCTTCTTGTACTTGAATACTGAATCACCCAGTTCTGCAGAATTTTTGCAGCATATTTATCCCATTACAGATTAATAAAAATGTCATTTTCTTGTATCTACAATTGCTGAAAACACTATAAATCAAGACAAAATGTGGTACAGATTCTGTCCTGGTCTGATTTCATTTAGTGTGAGATATCAGAAAGAGCAGGCAGTGAGCAAATGGCACTGTCACATGTTTGAGCCTCAGTGTGCTGTTTTCAGCTCTATTTGTTCAAAACCGGTATGTGTCAAAAGAAGAATGTAAGGCTGTCAGTGTGAGCTTAACTCTGACATTAGTGTGTGTTAACTGGCACACACTGTCATTATGAAGGCACGGCAACCTCTCCCTGTATCAAGTTTCTGTTATCGCTTTTATACATATAAACCATTTCAAGGTGTTGTTTGTGGTTCTTTTGTGTGTGTGTCATTTTCAGGGTTTCAAATTCCAACAGTAGGATCTTAGAGCGCCAACAGTGTACACACACATGTGCCTAAATTCACTCAGGCTGAACCAAATGCCTTTTCAGTCCTGTGCCCTGTTTGTGTATTGCTAGGTCACCCGCATTGTGGTCATGCCATGCATGCTAACCATGTCGCTTATGTTGACTCACCAGCTTACATGCAAGCAAGTTTCTAGGTTACAAAGACCTTTTAACAGCCACCTAAGCCAACAGTGTAAATACTATTGTGTGAGCAAAATACACACATGCACTCTGTCTCACTCATTCCTGAGGTGAACTCTGCATGTCTTTCCACCTGTTGGTTTTATTATGGTCTTGAAACCTGCCGGGCAAGTCGGCACTATATACATGCGTGTGTACCTCCTCGCTGGTTATGTTTATTCAGTTACAGCAGTCTGACTCACGCATTGTGATGTTGCTAAGTCCATTACTAATGGTTGTTTGATGCCTTAAATATGTGGTTCAGGTTACTTATTGTTAACGTGGGGGCATATATTGTTATATCAATATGGTTTATGATTCACATACTGTAAACTCTCTCAAACACGGCTGTCAGTGCTGACAGAGAATCACAGACCTTTTTTGGTCCACATAGCTCATTATATTGCAAGTGCCTTTTGAGAAGTTTCTTCTTCTTCTTCTTTTTTTAAACACATGAATACTTAAAATATGATGCACATTCTCTCATATACTATATGGCTATTAAAAAGTGAGTGTAGCCACTTGTGTTTATATATTGTGTTTGAAATTAGATTTTTTTTTACATTTGTTTTTTAATGTGTAATTTTTAAGATTATGATTGCATCATACTAGTAAGTGTGTAACTGCAGGAGGACGGTTTGTGAATGTACGTCATCACTGATCTAAAGTTCTTTACAGCACAGAATGAGAAGCCAAACAAAGCATTAACAGAAGCTTCAAGTGAAATACAGGTGCTGGTTGAAGGTTTCAGTATGATTCATTGTTTTTTCAGTACTATGATTTACAGTATGTGTGTTTGAAGTATTACTACCCAAGCAGGTAGGACCAGACTGTAGTATCCACAGGTTTGCCAACTCCCATGGTTTTGTTTCTCATGAATATGGTGTCTCATCCACAAATATGAAAAGAGCTCAGATCAGGGTGCAAAGTTTCCCACTCTCTCTCATAGATGCAATATTAATTTTATTATTCTATGTGTAGCTGTTGCCACCTGACTCTGAGAGACTCATGATACTTCTGCAAAGTGTAGCAACACTATGTGTTGGTACAGCTAATGTTGCTCACTATTTCCTCTTGACTGGAACCGGTCTTTTTTCATTGTTGTAATAAATTTACTTTTACAGTTGTGCATTTCTCCCTCCTCCTTTCTCCTGGTCGCTGAAAAGGAAATGTACAGTCTTAGACTTATTCATTCATGAATCTAATGTGATGTTTAAGTTTAGGTTAAAAATTCAGTCTGTTGGGGTAATCTGTATGACTGTGTGCCTGCTTTTGAGCTGTATCTCCAATACAGTAACCCATTTTTAATTGTCTTTCCTTTGATCCATTTTCATGCATTTGTAGATTATTTGACCTTTACTTATCTGTGTTGTTCATCTGATATGAAACAGACACACTTTACAAACAGCATCTTATATGCTAAGGAAAAAATGGCAGTTGAAAGTGCTACAGGAACATTTGAATTCATTATTACTTTTCCCCTGCAGGGAGAACCTGGATGTGAATACTGCAGAATAACCAGGGCTGATGTCAAGACAGCTCTGGGCTTTAACTCAATTGATGCGTTTGGAAGTAAGTCTGATTCAGACTGACTCACTGCATGTCTGCAAATGTCTGCATCTGCGTGACTGTAGACTAATTATACAGATAAACTAATCTATTTGCTCAAACATAATTTTGGGCTTTCATTCTACGCAGCCTCTGTCTTGCATGTCTCATAATGAACACATGTTCCATTGTTTACACTTCATATTAGGCTTTGAACGTAGGTTAGCCAAAAGAACAAATAAAGGTATAACACTGAGGTCATTAAAAAAACAACTGCCTGTCTTATTATATCTAACAAAGGCATTGTAATTCTATTTTTTTTTTGGTCTTTCTCAGCCTTTAGTGTGAAACTAATTTTGGTGATCCTCTGAGTTCACATCTCAGTTAAGAATTTCTGCAGTACTGTATTTTATTTAGCCTAATGAACAAATACTTGGAAAACTAATAATACAATAGCAATAAATAATAAAACATCTACAGTTTGTGTTTGTTGCTAATTAACAAATATTAGGGTACTAACACACCAAATAACAATGGTGAATTTAGTCAATGTTATCTGTTGCACATCAGCATGTTTACACTGTGACTGTGGGCTTGTTAGCATGCTAACATTACCAAGACCGTTAGCATGGCCATACACTCATCTCATTTAAACACCCTGTTTCCACATACTGTATGTAGGTTACTGAATGCTGACTTGCACCGAAAATGTCTAACACTTCATTATTTCTTCTCAGGCTGTATTCCATGGCCATGTTTTGAGTTGTTAGGAAAAGAAGATCCTAGAATCTGTCAGCACTACGTCCATGCACCAAATGATGTGAAGGTTCAGTTTGTACAGGAGCCAAACCCCAAATCCGACACCATTGTTGTCTCCTGGAGGCCCAGTTATTATGGTATGTCTCAGTTTCTGAGTTTATAGCCATTCTCACTATGCAGTTGTTATAAGAACCCATAGCATGTCTATAATCACTAAGTGATTCGGTAAGTTTGTAGCCAGTTTTGAAACTCATTTATCACGTCAGACAGGAGTTACAGAGTCACTTCTTATATTGGGGTTTGACAGACTGAAGGTTAACAAGAGTTATACAGTATGAGAATGGTAAAAAAATTATTCTTTGCATTATGAAAATGCTTCAAAGTATGACAGACAGCCCAGTTGATTATTATATCCAGTATGACTGAGGCTTTCATGTTAAAAGTTTACCAACCATGCACTGCACTGTATTTGACTTTGGAGGACACACTCTTTTAGATGCAACTCGTATGATCCATGACACTAATTTCACTCTGCCCCATTTGTTGCAGGAATCGCCTTCCTGAGAGGCTTTCAGGTGTCCCTTCAGGCTCTGGGGGGCTCCTCTGTTGCCTGTCAGCTCTTTCTCTTCCATCGTAACGTCTCCCTCCCAGCCTCATATGCTGAAAGGGTAGGAAGAGCCCCTGCTTGCTTCATACTTGGCTTTTTTCAGTCTGGTATGCTGTTTTTGACAAAGCGAAATGTTGTTACCAAGTTCTCACAGTTTTTACTCAGGAGATTGTTTACAGCTGAGCTTCAATAAATAGCACATCAATGCTTTTCATATTAATTAATTTTATAATTTGACATTTTTAATCAGAAAGTGGATCCTAAATTTTTCCCACTCCTGTTTTACCAAAGACCTTCTCTTGGAAAAGACACCCCTGTGGCTACTTTCTAAGAATGTTTTTGTTTCTAGGAGTACTTAAAAATTATGACCAGGTGATTGCAACATGATTGATGATGGTAATGATCCCAATCATCCATCTTCAAAACTGAGAATATGTCACTAAAAGACACAGCTGTAAATATTGAAAATCATCCAAAACCTGTAAAGGTTACAAGAGACGTCATGTCAAGGAATGTAGCCTTTTGTTACGAGCCTGTCCTGAAGGACTGTATGCATCACGTTGTGCGGGCACTTAAGCAAAACATATCAAAAGCTGCATGTTTTATATTAGCACAGGTAGGAATCCAAGTTCCACTAACTGGTGGTGGGGGTGGGGGCTACACAGGAATTCAAATCACATTAACATGAAATCCAGTGGAAAAGATCACAGGACGTGGCTTGTGAAAAGATTTTGTGTGTTTACTTCTGTGTTGTAATCGAGTCCCTAAACCTGGAGTCTGAGTCAAGACTGAGTCACCAAAGAAGAGTCTGAGCTGGGTCTCTGTTACCTGAGTCTGAGTCACCAGAAACCTACATTAAACACAAGTGGCAACAGCTCTCACCATTTTTAAAGGAGTTTACTGTGCTTGATACAATAGCCAAAAAAATATTATTGTAAGCACAAACACACACACTCACACTTAGAAGTGAGCAGTGCATTTTTTTGATAGGTGGAGTGTACGCTTCAGTGGAGGTGTGCAGGATAGAGAATGGTGTGGGCGAACAGGTTTTTATATCCTATGCCAAAATCATATGGCTTATTAGAAATGAGAAAAAAAAGAAGATAAAAGTCAAAGTCCTTGTCTCCATCTTCTGAGTCTGAATGCAGTCAATGCTCGAGTCAAGTCACATGTCCTGAAAATCAGGGGTTCACTGGTTCACTTTCCACCATCCTGTGTGAAAATGGTTCCCAAAAGCTTATTCAGAGGTTTTGGGAACGTGTTGATAAAATGACATCCAATCTTTTTTTTTTTAAATATACAGCTTGTATAATATATAACTACAATTTTTTATGTGAAAGATGTTCTCCTCAATCATTAATAACTCATATATAAAAAAGTCTTATTTCACCAATCAGACAAATCTGTGCAGGGTGTTTAAAGAAAGCCAAACTTATGATTGCCCCTGTGTTCTACAGGTGTACATGTCGGACCCTTTCCCCGGCCTCTCCCTTGATTCCCAGTATGCAGTTACTGTCATGGCTCTGCCGGTGCCTGAGGAGTGGAAGAAGTTCTACCAGAGCAAAATCTTCTCCACACGTTGTAAGACCCCTTTAAGCTATAAAACACACACAAAGGGTAACCTTTAAAATCAAAACCCTTACTTCTGCTGGCTTATTTACAGTGACAATGACATCTCATGCTCTGTCATCAGGAAGCTTGACTGTTCTCCAAACTTCATATTTCTCTCAGTCAGACTATCATCAAAACAATAGTGAATTTATTGTAACATGTCCGTTATGGTTTTGCAGCATGTGCTGAAAAGAACGGTCTTGAGCAGTGCAGAAAAGGTGAGAAAATGTGTTTTCTCAATTTCTAATAGTTCCCAAACAAACTCAAGTGTGACATAACAATTCCATCTTGTGACAAAATGTTTCTTTCTATGATGTGTTTGTAGACTGGTACCCGAAATATGTTTCAGTCATGCAGGAAGTGGGCGCCATCACTGTGACCTTTAACCTGGCTCCTCCAAACCTGGACATTAGGAGCTACTTCTCACTCTGTTACGCAAACGGAAAGAAGAAGTACATAGACATAACACCTGTGAGTGGTTTCATCTTCTGCAGCTTTATATTTATTTTGTTGCTTGCTTCTGTTGTTCATATTACAGAAATGTTGATAATTGCTTGGACTTAATAATTGTATTAATTATTGATTTAATTTCCTTAGAATTTCTCCAAAAACAAAACTCACCACAGTTATCAGCTGAATGACCTTCAAGAAGGAACTAATTACACTTGCCAGGTAAAATAAAAGTGATTATAACTAATCTATACATGATATTGATTATGAATTATAAAGGCTACTATGACTGCTTTTCACCAAAATACATTGTTTCATGAATAAAAACCTCAGATGGTTTTGTGTTTAATGTAAAATGAACAATGAATACAGAGTAAAATGCCTGTTTCCAAAAAAGTGGTATGCTAAGATGTTTGTTTTTATCTTTTCATTTTGTTTACCCTGAAAACATTTTTTGTTGTTAACTCAAGGTTAAATTGCTAGATTTTTATTGAGCTAATGGGTCAAATCAGCAAGTGAAGTTTGCTCAGAGTTCAAGGTGAAGGTTTCAGCTGTCCTGAGTTTGGAATGAAAGTTGAAAGGTACACTGAAGCTGTTCTGGTGGCACATGGTGGCCCAGCACTTTAGTGACCGACTTTATGTTGGTTTGTCCTTTAATCTGTCACCAGACTGCAGGTTTAAGTTTATTTTGTCCAACTACAGTTTTGATGGTAATTAAAAAATTTTCATACCTAACATGTCTTGTGTCACAGATTGCAGCTAACGAAGTAGATGCAGTGAGAAGAACATTCAATGTTCAGGTCATGCACATTCAGAAAGGTAAGTGAGATGGTTTTGTGGCTGCTTATTCACACAATCACAGTGTATCATAGTTGTTATTCAAAACGTCTACTTTGTTTTTGTGGTGGCAATGTGGGGATATAAAAACATAATTGTGTTAGACACAGACCCAATACTTCAAAATGTTGGGAAATATTTTTATTTGCTTTCCGGTTTAGTGTTAGATGAGAACATCTTTGTCACTCTGTCTAAATGTTAATTATAGAGCCAGAAGGGGATTAACTTAGCATAAAGACCAAGCTATGCTATCTCTCTTCAGCATTCATAAATATACCTACCAGTGCATCTAAAGCTCAGTAGTAATCATGCTGTATCTTATGTTTCAGTCCATACACAAAATGAAAAATAAAAATGGCAGTTTGTAGTTTTGCGGGATCCTATTTGCTGTTACTCTTTCTTTGGAAACAGTGGCTGTGATCAGTTATCCGTTTGCTGGTTTTACCGGTGATGGCGGGCATATTTGAACCAAGCAGCAACCTTTTTTTTTGTTATTTTTGTTATTTTTGTTATTTTTTTTTAAGTCTTTTTTATTTAACAACAATGCAAATTAATACAAAATATATTCAGTACAAATTGTTGCAACAGATGTATAACAGCAGGCATTAAGAGGAACCAAGCAGCAACCTCCTAGGCTGAGAAATGAAGCCAATGCAGAAGTGTCAAATCCTACAGTTCCTCAAAGAGGCTGGCTTCAAAAGGGAGCCAATCTCCATACACTTCAGTGTTAAATTGTCCAACTTTACAGCAGAAATAAACTCATTTAAAGCCTGGTACAAAAAATAGTTTTGGTCTCTATAGCAATTTTTTTCTTCTATGACAATTGTATCGAGGCAAAAAGTTAAGCATTAATTAAGGGCCTGGCTGCTTTGAGTGACGGGCGGTAGGGCCCTGCCACTGGTGGCGCCTCAGCTCCACTCACGCTTCACCTCTTTGCCCATTTTGGGATCAGCTGTAGCAGGTGAAGTGAAGCACTACCAATATGGCAGTGGACAGACTTGAGCTCTAAAACAGCTCTTGCGAAAACCAATAGTTGGCATCTAGGTGGGTTTGTCCAGCTTTTATAAACAGTTAGTGATGTGAACTTCAGAGAGAGCCAGACTAGCTGCTTCCTTCTGCTTCCAGATGGAATGTAAGCTAAGCTAATGTACTCTCAGCTCTTCTTCTCATCTAATTCTCAGCAGCATTGCAAATAATATGCCAAAACAATATCCCAGTTGTTCACAGCTTCCCCTCTTCAACAGGTATCTTGCCGCTCTCTGTCATTCCCTCCATGACTCTGATGCTTCCTCTGTGCCTAGCTGTGGTAACCTTACTTGTGGTCTTCCTGGTTGTTGTCACCAGGAGGAGGCCCAAGCTACAGATGAAGGAACCTGACATAAAACCAGGTGCAAAGTCAAACCAAATAGGCTATGTCTAACGTAATAAATCATGATATTTGTTATTTATTTTAAACCATTGGACAAAAAACATTTCTTGTCTCTTCAGCATGTCTTTTCATTAACCACACGTGCGAAATACAACCAGATTTCTTTGTTGTCGTCTTTGCAGATATTTCCAGTTATCATCAAGTGGACAAGCCTCAGGAGGAAGTGGTATCATTGCTCAGAAACAGGCGGACCCCTCCTCGACTTTTGATTTGCTACAGCAGTTATGATGGCCCCGCTCATGTCAAAGCTGTCATGCAGTTAGGAGCTTTCATACAGCGGCACATGGCCACTCAGGTAGTGGCCATAATATTGTATGGTTCTAATACAGATGTTCTGATTATAAAGGGCAGTTTTGGTCTTGTAAGAGCCACATCTTGAAAAATTTATCAGATAGGCAGAAACAAACAGAAATATACAGTTTTGCCAAGGTGCTGATGGCTAGATCATTGCCTTTGTTCCTTTCTTGTAGTTTATCCCTGTCATAAAAAAAAAAACTATCCGCTTGTTTCTTCCCAGGTGTGCCTGGACCTGTGGGATTCTCTGAGCGTGGCTGAGGAGGGAAGTATGGCCTGGCACTACCGGCAGATGCGAGAGAGCGACTTCGTTTTGGTGATCTGCTCTAGGGGACTCAGTCATGGACCTGAGCCTTCAAAGCCAGAGGGTGATGACACAAATGAGGAGGCAGACGCACTCCTGGACTTTGGGTTCAATGCCTTCAGTGCTAATGCAGCCATCCAACTTATTGGTGAGGAGGTGGGCCGAGCCAAAGCCAGGGGTCAGGACCTGTCCAAATACATGGCAGCTATTTTTGAGTACTCTGAGGAAACGGACATCCCCACAGTGCTGAGGCTGGTATCTCACTACATGCTGACAAGTGACCTACCGCTGCTCTTCTCCCACCTCCATGGAGTGGCTCTGCACAGGCCAGGGGGTTACCTGAAAATAAACCACATTTCAGAGGAAGGTTTTACCAAAGTACCAGCTGGAGCAGCTCTGCAGTGTGCTATCTATGAAGCTGGGTTGTCAATGAGGGCAAAAAGGCGCCACTCTGTGGAGGGAGGGGACTAAGCACTAAAAAAGCTTCCTAATATTGGAAAGACATTGGCCTGAATACAGACATTCATGATGATTCATGATGATGACAAATGTGCTGGCTCTATATGTGGCCACACAGGAGAGTGTTTGGCAGCCCTGAGTGCACATCTGGAGGGTGACTAGTATGTCTACAATTCCTACAGCTACAGTACATCATCTAATCACTTCTGCCTAAACTGAGCTGTAGTTGCAGAAACCATGCACTTCAACTTCTAAAATGTGTTAATATGCTACATACAGTGTGTTCAGGAAGGATTTGTACAAAGAGCATCCAGTAAAATGTGCAACGTTTACTAAGGTCTTATTTGGAATACATTCTTTGTTCATTTTTTTGCTATGTAATTGACATTTGAAATAAGGACACAACACAAACTATTAATCTCATACATAAGTTATTAAAGTTATGATGTTATGTTTACCTTAAAGCATTTATTGAACATTGTATGTATGCATGCTGACAGTCAAACTTATAGTTTTTTTTTATACATGTGCATATTTATGCTCATGCTCATTAAATACCACGTATTTATGAAATTTATATATAGTTGTTTCTGTTGAGTGAATCTAATTTGCAAGATATTTTGCTGAAAGATCTATCTGTATCTAAAATTAATAAAATTTTTAAATATGAACCTCTGAGTGTAGTGGAAATTGAAATTGTTGCTAAGTTTAATATTTCTCACAATTAAGAAATGTATAAACTATAACAAATGAAACTGTGACTACTTCAGCAACGAGATCTGGTAACCCGGATGGAGGCGACGTCAGCTCTTCCAGTTTCTCTACAGACAGCGTGGAAAGATGGTGCTCGATTTGGACCTGTTTCGGACCGATAAAGGCGGCGACCCAGAAATCGTCCGTGAGACTCAAAGGAAGAGGTTTAAGGATGTAACCCTTGTTGATAAACTTGTTGCTGCAGATACAGAGTGGAGAAAATGTAAGCGTCTTTTCTGTTGTTTTAGTCGTTGTAGCTAACAGCTGGCTAACTTAATGATGCTCATGTTAGCGTAGCGTCGGCGTAATCTCCAATGGCAAGAAGATGGTACCAAATTCTATTTGAATTCCTGTCTTTTTCATTATTGGTATGCAAATACAGCCAAAGTTCTTATCCCATCTGGGACATTAAAAGACTTCTAATATTTTTACGATACTCTCGTGTATTCGGTACATTGAATTGCAAAAAATAGCTTCTAATAATGTACTTTTATGATGTTAAAACTAACGTTAACCTAAACTGCGCTCTTCCACTGCAGTGGACTGCATTTTAGAGCATTAACGTTAACGACTGAAATAGCAAATAAAGTGTTGCCTGTGTTTATAAATACGTGGTATATTTATGCCGGATTTGGCAGTGGACACCGTTTTGACAGGACGTAAAAGAATACCTAGTAAAAGTGGTGCATGTTTGTCTGTAAAGTAGGCAACAGTTTAAAATCAGATTTCAATGGAGTTTGGTATGATGTTCTGCCAACACTTAACATTAAAGGGGCTAATGTTAGCGCAGCTAGCACTATTCAACAAATCCACTATGAGCTCTATGGTTATCCTCCACCTAGTTAGCATAAAGGTAGTTACTAAATGTTAGGCTTTTAACAAACTGATACGAAGAACTAGTTAATCACGCGTTCTCGTAGTGTTATTACCAGGTATAATAGGAGGTGTTAGCTAACGCTAATGCTGGGTTAGCTTAGCGATGCCGGGTAATTATGTGCAATCTGATGCAATCCCGGACAGCAACATGACAAGTCAACCTCGCCCTGCAGTGTCGTCCCTATCCAACATGCTAACGTTAATGATTTTGTCAGTACATTGCTGCCACTATTTAAGTGACAAAAATATCCATTTACATTTTTATTGTCGTCTTTGTATGAGGGTGACTTGGTACTGACAGCAACACCTATCACCAGGTGACTAGTCCTACTACTGCACCTCACACACAGAGACTCATGAGGTTGGCGCGTTCCCACCATGGACTGACTGTGATTTACCCCCTAACAGGCCGCTTCACTGCAGACAACCTCAACAAAGTAAAGAACCTATGCAGCAAGAGCATTGGAGAGAAAATGAAGGTAAGGAATGACTGAAGAGGCCGTGGGGCATTGTAATAAGTGAGAGTTTAAGTTGGTCCTGTATGTGTCCTATAGTCTTTTAAAAACAGAGACACCTAGGAAGATGTCCCATTCTTTGGTACATTTAATTGTATATTATTGACTGCAGAAAAAGGAACCAGTTGGGGATGATGAGTCTGTACCTGAAGAAGCACAGAACCTGGAGGCCCTCACAGCTGAATCGTTATCGGTATGACTGTCTGTGCTCTTATGGCACCATTTTTACACGTTGTTAGCCTAATCTCTGTAGAAAAAAATAGAACTTAAAGCCTACACCTTTCTAAATGTTTCTTCCTTGTTTTTATTTTAATTATTTTGTCAGGCCCTGACAGTAACCCAGATCAAGAAGGTGCGTTTACTGGTGGACGAGGCACTGGAGAAAACTGAAAGCGAAAGGATAAAGCTGGAGGCAGAGCGTTTTGAGTACCTGAGGGAAATTGGCAACCTTCTGCACCCATCTGTACCCATCAGCAATGATGAGGTGGGTGATTTGATATAGGTAGATTGGATATAGACATAATAATACATTGTAAGTGGCTGTAATTTCACTAGCATTTTCCATTATGTCAAAGGTTAACGTGGTCTTCAAAAATATGTGGATTAAATAGCACATCAGGATACATCATAGTAAAATGTCAAAATCGCAATATCAAATTGTACTGTACCTAGACAACAGTGAGCTAAAACATTATCATGTAACACTGGTCTAGGATGTGGTATCAATCTCCTGACATAATTCTCAACAAAAAAAGCAAATGTCTAATTTAGGGTTGTCAAAGGTAGCGCAAATTCATTTTAATGCCACACATTTCTTTTTTTTTTACGTGCAATTAATGTATGCACAGTCTGTGATTTTGACCCTCATCCCGTCCTGTAGTTTGGGAAATCAGGAGGCGATGCAGCAGCAGAAGTAGATGAAGAAATGGGTCTTCTGAATGGCAAGTTCAGCTTCAAAAATCTGGCAGATGGTTCTCTCAACAAGACCAAAGTTATTTGCATTTACTGTCAATGTGAACTAAGTTACCACCAGAGTACCTTGAGTCTTAAATACCACGTGCTGACCAAGCACACAGCTGATGCAGAGAGCCCTCCTCCCTCTCACAAAAGGCAGACCACGCTGGATAGTTTGTAACAGAGTAACATGGGAGCAAGGCTTGTACACAGCCTGTAGGAGTCCTTTCTAACTCTATTCCAACACAACAGAGAAAAAGCAGAGGGCCATTACCTTGCTGCAGTATTTGAGATTACAATCAGTCCACATTACTAAATCTGACTGTTACTGTACAAGAGCCACCACTGTAACCAAGATAAACAACTTGTATGAAGACGAGAAGCTAGAGTGGACGAGGCATTGGGACAGACAAACACATGCGGTGCTAACCGGGGACTACTGGACTTCTCTCAGTAATCAGTTACATTGTGGTCCCTTTAAGGAACATTTAGAACCTGTGGTGGAAAAAATACTCGGATCCTTTAATAGTACAAGTAGCAATACAGCAGTGTAAAAATATTCCGTTACAAGTAAAAGTCCTGCATTCAAAATGTTACTTAAGTAATAATACAAAAGTATTAGTATCAAAACATGAATTACTAAAGGTAAAAGTGCTCATTATGCAAAATGGCACATTTCATGTTCCTGTATATCACATTATTGTATTATAATTATTGATGCATTATTGTGTACATCACATTTAATGCTACAGCTGGTAAAGGGTGAGCTAATATGAACTAGTTTATAAACATTTAATCTGAATTACTGCTGGGAAGCTTGTGAATTTTCCACCATTAATAAATGAGGTCTTATAACTATACTGTGTTTTTCTAGTAATATGATTAGGAAAAGTAACTAATAACTAAAGTTATAAAATAAATGTATTGGAGTAAAAAGTACAATATTTTCTTCAAATATAGTGAAGTCAAGGTTTAAAGTAAGAGAAAATGAAAATATTGAAGTTCAGATACCTCAAAATTGTACTTAAGTACAGTATTTGAATAAATGTACATGGGTACTTTGCACCACTGTTTGGAAGAGGGGAAAAGTGATTAATTTGTGATTAATTGCAATTTAACTATGGACAATAATGAGATTAATTATGATTAAATATTTTTTATCGATTGACAGCACTAGTCTAATTATTCCTCATGTACTTGTGAAAATGTTTCTTCCTGACCTAACCCAGTGATAATCAGTTTACAGAAAAGTAGCTGGCTGTCACATGAGAAGCATTTGGCATTTTTTTTGACAAGCTATCTATCAGCTGCAGAAATTAATTAAATTGGCAGTCAACCAGCCGCTTCACTGCAGACAACCTCAACAAAGTAAAGAACCTATGCAGCAAGAGCATTGGAGAGAAAATGAAGGTAAGGAATGACTGAAGAGGCCGTGGGGCATTGTAATAAGTGAGAGTTTAAGTTGGTCCTGTATGTGTCCTATAGTCTTTTAAAAACAGAGACACCTAGGAAGATGTCCCATTCTTTGGTACATTTAATTGTATATTATTGACTGCAGAAAAAGGAACCAGTTGGGGATGATGAGTCTGTACCTGAAGAAGCACAGAACCTGGAGGCCCTCACAGCTGAATCGTTATCGGTATGACTGTCTGTGCTCTTATGGCACCATTTTTACACGTTGTTAGCCTAATCTCTGTAGAAAAAAATAGAACTTAAAGCCTACACCTTTCTAAATGTTTCTTCCTTGTTTTTATTTTAATTATTTTGTCAGGCCCTGACAGTAACCCAGATCAAGAAGGTGCGTTTACTGGTGGACGAGGCACTGGAGAAAACTGAAAGCGAAAGGATAAAGCTGGAGGCAGAGCGTTTTGAGTACCTGAGGGAAATTGGCAACCTTCTGCACCCATCTGTACCCATCAGCAATGATGAGGTGGGTGATTTGATATAGGTAGATTGGATATAGACATAATAATACATTGTAAGTGGCTGTAATTTCACTAGCATTTTCCATTATGTCAAAGGTTAACGTGGTCTTCAAAAATATGTGGATTAAATAGCACATCAGGATACATCATAGTAAAATGTCAAAATCGCAATATCAAATTGTACTGTACCTAGACAACAGTGAGCTAAAACATTATCATGTAACACTGGTCTAGGATGTGGTATCAATCTCCTGACATAATTCTCAACAAAAAAAGCAAATGTCTAATTTAGGGTTGTCAAAGGTAGCGCAAATTCATTTTAATGCCACACATTTCTTTTTTTTTTACGTGCAATTAATGTATGCACAGTCTGTGATTTTGACCCTCATCCCGTCCTGTAGTTTGGGAAATCAGGAGGCGATGCAGCAGCAGAAGTAGATGAAGAAATGGGTCTTCTGAATGGCAAGTTCAGCTTCAAAAATCTGGCAGATGGTTCTCTCAACAAGACCAAAGTTATTTGCATTTACTGTCAATGTGAACTAAGTTACCACCAGAGTACCTTGAGTCTTAAATACCACGTGCTGACCAAGCACACAGCTGATGCAGAGAGCCCTCCTCCCTCTCACAAAAGGCAGACCACGCTGGATAGTTTGTAACAGAGTAACATGGGAGCAAGGCTTGTACACAGCCTGTAGGAGTCCTTTCTAACTCTATTCCAACACAACAGAGAAAAAGCAGAGGGCCATTACCTTGCTGCAGTATTTGAGATTACAATCAGTCCACATTACTAAATCTGACTGTTACTGTACAAGAGCCACCACTGTAACCAAGATAAACAACTTGTATGAAGACGAGAAGCTAGAGTGGACGAGGCATTGGGACAGACAAACACATGCGGTGCTAACCGGGGACTACTGGACTTCTCTCAGTAATCAGTTACATTGTGGTCCCTTTAAGGAACATTTAGAACCTGTGGTGGAAAAAATACTCGGATCCTTTAATAGTACAAGTAGCAATACAGCAGTGTAAAAATATTCCGTTACAAGTAAAAGTCCTGCATTCAAAATGTTACTTAAGTAATAATACAAAAGTATTAGTATCAAAACATGAATTACTAAAGGTAAAAGTGCTCATTATGCAAAATGGCACATTTCATGTTCCTGTATATCACATTATTGTATTATAATTATTGATGCATTATTGTGTACATCACATTTAATGCTACAGCTGGTAAAGGGTGAGCTAATATGAACTAGTTTATAAACATTTAATCTGAATTACTGCTGGGAAGCTTGTGAATTTTCCACCATTAATAAATGAGGTCTTATAACTATACTGTGTTTTTCTAGTAATATGATTAGGAAAAGTAACTAATAACTAAAGTTATAAAATAAATGTATTGGAGTAAAAAGTACAATATTTTCTTCAAATATAGTGAAGTCAAGGTTTAAAGTAAGAGAAAATGAAAATATTGAAGTTCAGATACCTCAAAATTGTACTTAAGTACAGTATTTGAATAAATGTACATGGGTACTTTGCACCACTGTTTGGAAGAGGGGAAAAGTGATTAATTTGTGATTAATTGCAATTTAACTATGGACAATAATGAGATTAATTATGATTAAATATTTTTTATCGATTGACAGCACTAGTCTAATTATTCCTCATGTACTTGTGAAAATGTTTCTTCCTGACCTAACCCAGTGATAATCAGTTTACAGAAAAGTAGCTGGCTGTCACATGAGAAGCATTTGGCATTTTTTTTGACAAGCTATCTATCAGCTGCAGAAATTAATTAAATTGGCAGTCAACCAGTCAGCTTCTTCTAATTGTCCCTGCCATTTTATTTATATAGCACATTTAAAAGCAACAACAGTTGGCCAAAGTGCTGTACATAACAAGGTGCGATTAAACACATAAAAGGAAAGTGAAACAAACTGTATAATCACTAGTTATATTTCCTCGTTTCCTCCTGACAGGATGTAGACAACAAGGTGGAGCGTACCTGGGGTGACTGCACCGTCGAAAAGAAGTATTCCCACGTTGACCTAGTGGTCATGATCGATGGCTTTGATGGAGAAAGGGGTGCAGTTGTGGCTGGGAGCAGAGGTTACTTTTTGAAGGTGAGTTCAAATATAAGTTCTGACACTTGTGCAGTAAACAAACAACAGCGCAGACAAGCAAAAACAGGCCAGCAGTTTGCTACTTTCAGGCCTTTTTCCCCAACAAAATACATAGAAGATCCATGGTTGACCTGTAAATGTAGAGACCAGCTGTTATCAGTTGTTTTCCTCCCCTCTGCTGTGTTCAGGGCCCGCTGGTGTTCCTGGAGCAGGCGCTGATCAATTATGCTTTAAGGATCCTCCATAGCAAGAATTACACCATGCTCTACACACCCTTCTTCATGAGGAAAGAGGTCATGCAGGAAGTCGCTCAGCTCAGCCAGTTTGATGAAGAGCTATACAAGGTACGGAAACGGAATTCTCCATTTCCTTTAAGCTTGTATTTACCCATTCAGGTGTTGTCATGGATGTGTAATGGGAGGTAAAGAGTGAGAGTCTGATCTGCAGAGGGCTGCATTTTGCAACCCTAAGCAGTGTAAGAAAGAGCTTATAATAAGTTTAGAAATGAAGTATTAACCATTTTAATACCATGGGTTTTAAATTCAATGCACTAGAGTCCTGATACTTTTGGTCATGTAGTGTCATTGGCAACAGTGCCACCTAGAGGCTCTAACAATGAGCTGCATGTTGTAATTGAAGTATTTGTGTACTCTCATGTGATGTCAGTGCTTCTCAGCTTTAGTGAAAACTCCCCCTCTGTTTCTTGTCTGCCTGTCCATGACACACTATAAAATAAAGGCTAAAGAGATAAGTACTTTATTGATCCTGAGGGAAATCCAGGATTTATTCGTACATATTTTGGCCAATGACATTTCATAACATGAAGCCCTTTTCCATTACACAACATTCAGAGAATTGTTTATACACAAGAAAGAACATGTCTGGAAAATTCCTTTTTAAAATTCCATTTCCAGGTTTTCCATGGCAGAACTGGATTTCTGTTTGTTGTTCCTCTTTCTGAACTACTATGTGTTTATGTCAGGTGATTGGTAAGGGGACTGAGAAGTCAGATGATAACTCCATAGATGAGAAGTACCTCATCGCCACCTCTGAGCAGCCCATCGCCGCCTTCCTGAGGGAAGAGTGGCTCAAACCTGAGGACCTGCCCATCCGCTATGCAGGCTTCTCCACCTGCTTCAGACAGGAAGTGGGTTCCCATGGCCGAGACACCCGTGGGATCTTCAGGGTTCACCAGTTTGAGAAGGTCAAAACTAATGTTTTACATCATTTGTTGGTGAAATACTGTTAAGGTTTAAACACTATTACCCCTTTTCTGTCAGTATATTTGATATTTTAAATGGGTAGATGTAGGAATTGACCTATAAAGTTTTTCCTCTCTCTTTTCCTTTCCTTGTAGATTGAGCAGTTTGTCTATGCCTCACCACATGATGGAAAATCTTGGGAGATGTTTGATGAGATGATAGGGACAGCAGAAGAGTTCTACCAGTCACTAGGAATTCCTTATCGCATTGTCAACATTGTCTCTGGTAGGTCCAGCCCGGTTTGGCTCAGTTTTGACTTAAAGCAATTTAAGTATAAATTGAAAACCTTCATCAGTGTCATGTGCACTGCTCTGTCCTGCACGTTTTACTCTACAAGCACATATACGGTCTTTAAATGCCCACAGGAATTATAGTTTTCAGAATGTGATCCTAAGAGCAACAGAATTTCAGTAAAAACGAGTCAAAGCAAAAAAATAGCTGATCACCACTGTATTCTGGCAAAACTCTGACTCTGAGTACAGCACCAAAAAATAATATGAGGTGTAATTACTCATGAACACTCGTGAGGTCCGTTGTGGTGAAGAAGGAGCTGAGTCATAAGACAAAGCTCTCAATTTACCGGTTGATCTACATTCCTACCCTCACCTATGGCCACCTATGAACTTTGGATCATGACCAAAAGAATGAGATCGTTGATACAAGCGGCAGAAATGAGTTTCCTCCAGACAGTGGCTGGGCACACCCTTAGGGATAGGGTGTGGAGCTCAGTCACCCGTGAGGAGCTCAGAGTAGAGCCGCTGCTCCTCCATGTTGAGTGGAACCAGTTGAGGTGGCTCGGGCACCTGTTTAGGATGCCACCTGGACGCCTCCCTGGGGAGGTATTCCGGGCATTTCCCCCGGGAGAAGGCCTTGGGGCAAATCCAGGACACGTTGGAGAGACTGTCTCCCGGCTGGCCTGGGAACACCTTGGGGTTCCTCCTGAGGAGCTAGAGGAGGTGTGTGGGGAGAGGGAGGTCTCGGAGGTTCTGCTTGGGCTACTGCCCCTGCGACCTGGTCTCGGATGAAGCGGACGAAGATGGATGGATGGATGGAATGAATGGTGTAGTTACTCCTTTTAAAATGTCACTTTTACATTTAGAAAAAGATGATAGGTGTTTTTATATTGTAATGGTGTTTATGTATACAGTGTATCTTATCTTTTCAGAAAGCAGTGTTTAGTCCAGGCAGTAACTTACAGTGAATTGAGAGCAGCCAAGAGTTTAGCAGTTTGGTTCATGTCATGACATCTGTAGGCTGTGCTACAATCACTCCCGAGGGCTTAATCACCAGCTGCTGCTAGAGCAGTAAGTGCTTGTCTTATGATCAGACCATCGTATCTGTTAACTGCCTACTTACTGCATGTGATTGTAGGTGCCCTGAATTATGCAGCCAGTAAAAAGCTGGACCTGGAGGCCTGGTTCCCTGGCTCTGGTGCTTTCCGAGAGCTGGTCTCCTGTTCAAACTGCACTGACTACCAGGCCAGACGCCTCAAAATCCGCTACGGACAGACCAAAAAGATGATGGACAAGGTGAGTGCTCGATTCCAGTGCAACGGTGCATGTTGACGAAGAGGTTTCTGTAACCAGGTCTCACATGAGATCTCAGCCAGGGAACTGAGATGTGGCTTGTCTCATGTGAGACCTGGTTACACCCCGAGCTGTTGCTGGGCAGTGAATGCCATCCAGCAAGGGAACTGAGATGTGGCTTGTTTCTTTATTTCCATTAAGCAAAAACATTAGAGACACTGTAGTTTCACAGTGCCTCATTTAGTAGGGCCAGGCCTTATTAACTTAATTCAGTTTAGAAAAAATTGTCTGTTGTATCTCTTTTCCACTGCTCAGCCAGGGTTAAATGCGTTAAAACTAAAACTATAAAAGTTACACGATGAAAATACACATTGCATCAAGACTTTCTGCACGATATAACACCACTATGGAGATAATTTTAGAGGTCCACACATGATGGACACCATAAGATTAATTAGATTCCCTCCATCTCATTAAAGCCTTTTTAAAGTACTGCTTTGAAGCAGCACAGTTGTTGCTCACTTCTCTCTGTTTGTTATGTAGGCAGAGTTTGTGCACATGTTGAACGCCACCATGTGCGCCACCACACGTGTGATGTGTGCCATCCTGGAGAATTACCAAACCGAAGAAGGCATCATTATTCCAGAGAAACTCAGGGAGTTCATGCCTCCTGGTAAGCTGCATTGAATAGGGGTGGAACAGTTCACAAAATCCATGGTTTTGGGGTCATGTTTTTCAGTTTTGGTATGTTTTTATGTAAGACTCAGGGAGGATACTGCCAATTTCAACATGCTGCTTATTTATTTGGCAAAAAGTTAACAAATGTTTGACTTGAAACTCTGGCTAAGAACATAAGGAGCATAAACACTTCTTTATTGTCAACACAAAGTGCATCATAACGCAAATGCACTTTGTTCCATAACAGCACTGCTCATTTCATTCTATTTTGTAGTTGACCAAAACAACTACAAAATAGGTAACTTTAGATTTTGTAGGCGTTATGTCTCAACCTGTTTCAAATAAATCAAACGATAAGTACATGCCTCAAACTGTGACTAATGAACCCAACAGGCTGGATTTTTTACAAACCGTTCCACTGCTCGTGTTTTACATCTGCTGTGTTCATTCAAAACACTTAAGCTGTCTGGCCAGCTACAAGAAACGTCTGACCTCTGTGATTGCCAACAAAGGTTTTGCCACCAAGTACTAAAGCACGTTTTGCAAAGGGATCAAATACTTATTTCATTCATGAAAATGCAAATTACTTTAACTTTTTTTGTAATGCATTTTTCTGGATTTTTTTGTTGTTGTTGTGTCTCTCACTGTTCACATAAACCTACCATTGAAATTGTAGACTGATCATTTCTTTGTTAGTGGGCAAACTTTCAAAATCAGCTGGGGTTCAAATAATTTTTTCCCTGACTGTATATCACACCTGTCTGTCCTACAGGTTTGACTGAGATGATAAAGTTCGTCAAGCCTGCTCCTATTGATCAGGAGATAGCTAAGAAATCAAAGAAACAGCAGGGAGGAGGCAAGAAGAAAAAGCAGGGAGGAGACCAGAACTTGCCTAACGCCGTGGAGACCATGTCCATCAACGACTCATAGACTCCAGCACATGACAGCAGAGTCGCTTTACCCACCTCCCAGATAGAAACTGATGGGGTAGAGCCTCATGTTTTTATAATATTCTAGAGTAAGTGGTGCCATTTCTCCCACACTTGAATGGTTACGTTAGAAACTGGGGAAAAGAACGTCTCAATTCGGCACTGAATGTTTTGTGTCCTTAAAGCGAAGGCTCGGCTCTGTCCTATCTGTGTCTATCTGAATGGATGGTGTCATTCATCCCAGCTTTTCGTCCCCTCATTCGCATAAAGCATATGGAAAAAGGGATTTCTCTGTGCTCTCAGCCATCCACTGACCATCTGTACATCTGCAGCAACACTGAGCCTAAAATGAACAGAAAAGACTGCTTAAGCTGTCTGAGGGACCCGGTTTGTTCATGTAGTCAGAATCAGCTGCCGCACTAGTTTCTGTGACTGGTGTGTAGTGCAGCTGAACCACTGGTTGTAGGCGGGCACATGTTGTTTTAAGATCTATACTCAGCATTGAAAATTGCAGTTTGCAAATGTTTGGAGTTTTGTATCATCAGTTAATGTCTGAGAGCTTCATTTTTTGGTTCTTTGCAGAGAGCAAAACCTGTATCTCTGATTATTTCACATCTCCCGTGGGTTTAAAGTTATTAGTGAAATGTAAAAATCTACCTGGTGAAAATGATCAGCTGTTTTAACTCTGTTTCAGGGTTCTCTTCATGTCTTTGATCACAATCATTTTTGACCATTGTTGATTGAAATCATTGTCGACCGCAACTCTGTTCATTAGTTTATAATTGAGACATTCACATTGTATGCACTTGGCTAATATAAAGATATATATGTGTATATGACGGCGTTGATGAAATGCAACTCACTGAACAAATAAATACAGTTAACATGGAAGTCCTTTTTGTGCATCTGTTTTTCAAGAAGTCTAAAATGAGTCATGCCTTGAATTCTAAAATGAATATCTCGAATTAACAGTGGGAACTCAGCTAAAACTATCCATCAATCCATTACCTATGCTGCTTACACTGAGGAGGATTGCAGGGGGCTGGAGTCTATTTCAGCTGACGCTGAGTGAGAGGTGGGATACATCTTGGACAGGCCACCAGTCTATCGCAGGACTGACATTTAGATAAACAACCACACACTCACACTGAGTCCTACAGGCAGTTTAGAGTCACCAATCAACCTAAGCTGCATGTTTTTGGAAATGTGGGAGGAAGCCAGAGTACCTGTAGAGAACCCATGCAGGCACAGGGAGACACCGGGTCAGCTGGAACCTGTTTGCTGTGAGGCGACAGCGCTAACCACTGTTCCATCATGCCGCCCAGCTAAAATCATGTCGTCTTTTAATTTCACACAGCTCTAAAGCATCATGATAACTTGTTTCTCAAAGCATCTGCCAGCTTAAGTGTAATAACTTAAATAGCTTTATCTTGGCAAAATAACCCTAAATCGAACATTTACTGTCAGTGGAGTCATGAATACTTAATCAAATTGTATGCATGAAAGGTCCATGCAGCCTGGATGTTTGGCAAAGTGCAATAAGGAAAACATGGTAGTTACTTATTAACCCCAGCAGACTTTACACCTGTTTATCTGTAACGCAGTAAGAACCTGATTGTCTCCAGTATATTTAGAAAAAGGTGAGATTAACCAGCAGTATATATTTTTCATCACTGAGTTAATTCAGTACATTTTGATGCTGGTGTACATGTTACAGTGTTTCTGTGTCAAAGAGCAGGTACCCCGCCAGGCGTGTCGACATGAGTGACGCTTCAGAGGACGACAATGAGATCTCCTTTCGGGTGAAGGTGAATACTGATTTTTGAGAGTAAAATCTTAAGGTGGAAACAGCTCATAGGTGAGATAGTTTGATTACTTGCTACAGCTGAACAATGCTACTGTGTACTTTGTTTAATTTAGCTCCATTTGTCTTGGGCTGAGTTTCTAGCTATTTAAACTTCTCCATACAGCAGCCTACATACTGTACATACAGTTTTCATTTTGTTGTACTTCTTAATTGAAACTTCCATTTTGCTTTGTGTGTGTTTTCTTTTCTCTAAACTCTAGTTCCTTGGGCGAGTTGAGGTAGTTCGTCCTGATGGACTACAGATCCTGGAGGAAGCGGCTCAGAGCATCAAGGTCAGCAATGAGTGTTTTAATGCACTTAGCACAGTCCTTCCCTGTATACCATTTTTAGTCATACTAGCAGCAGCTCTATGGGGTGGCAGTGTCAGCTGGCCAGCCACTTTAGGCACTGCAAAATGTATCATGGTGACTTTGGAGATTCCCCAGACGTTTCATCTTGTGCCATCATAAGTTTGATATTTTTGCTTTGGAAATGTTTTTGTATAATTGATGGAAATGCTATAACATCTAGTAGATATTTATGGTGCCCAGAGAATCAACCTGGTGATCCCCTGGCCCTTGTAGTCTTGATTAAAATTTCTGGACACTTGGTTTTATGGGCAGATTGTGGGGGGGGGGTGTGACCAGAGCTGGCACCAGCCACCCCCACAGTCCGATTGGCCTACCCTGGTGCCATCCTTGCCAGAGTCAAAATGTGATGCTTTTCAGTATTAATGAAATAAAAAAAACATGCTAGGTTGTTGCAGGGTGGCAGGCTGGAGCAGTGGTTAGCGCTGCTGCTTTGGGTTCAAGCCCTACCTGAACTGGTGCAGAGTTCACTTCCTTCTACAGTCCAAAGACATGTTGCAACCCTAAATTGTCCTTATGTATGAAAGTGGGTGTGTGTGGTTGTCTGGCTTTAAGTGCCAGCCCTGTGATAGACTGGCAACATGTCCATGATGTACCCCACCTCTCACCCAGTGACAACTGGGATTGTCTCCTGACCCTTTTCAGGATAAATAGTATAGATAATGGATGGAGTTTTTGCCTCAAATACGTTTAACATTTTTCTAATGCTGTTTAATTGATATTGATAACATTTGTTTATTTTATACCTTGCATGGGCCTTAAGTTGTTGTGTTGTGGTGGAGTACTTGGCAGTGATGTGGTATGGGAGGGGTGGACCATTATGCAGCAGTGATGTCCCCAGCTGGAATTAAATAAGGAGCACTGCCAAAGTTAACTAAAGAAAGCACTGTGTGTGTCTCATTTTTACACAAAATAAACGATTTGATTCTTAATGATGTATGGTTTGTTATTTCATAGAACTCTAGGGCTTTAATTTACAAGACATGGCTGTTGCAATTTTTTAAAGTGCATAGATACAGATCAGGGCAAGGGTATAAAGCTTAGAAAATAAAAATTGGGACTTTTCTGTACATTAGGAAGTTCAAGTGTTCTGGTGGATTTACAAACTGGTGTGGATGCTCCATGGCACCCCATTCACATCTTTTTTAATAAAGTCCACATGTTTGTACAGAGAGACAGTGACAGAAATGACATGTAATGCATCTCCTCGCATCCCTAGACACCAGAAAAATACTCAACAGAAAAGGCAGCCAAGAAGAGCAAAGTCCATCTCTTCCTGTCCCAGAGTGGAATAGACATTTTGGAAAACAAAACCAAGGTGTGTGATCAGTCCAAGGATGCATTTCACATTCTGCTTTCCTTGCCCTTGAACGATCACTTTATATCTTCTTATTATCTTTTGCCTCCCCAGTTTTTGTTGTACACTTGCCCTCTCTCCACTGTTTCCTTCTGTGCCATGCTGCCATCCTCACCCAAGGTTTTTGGCTTTGTGGCCAGACACCCTGCAGCGGACATGTGCCACTGTTATCTGTTCCAGAGCAAGATGTTTGTGAGTAATCCCAGGAGCTACAGAATAACAGACGCTACACAGTCCCCATGGGAACATTTTGGTGATTTATTGTTTTTTTATTGAGTACACAAGGAGACCACTAACATCAAGGTAAACAATGTGGCTCCAAACTAGAAAGAAATATTTTGCCCTAAGTCTTTTCAATTTCCAAAACATTTTTCAGTCTCACGTGCTGGTCTCCGTTATTGGGGATGCCTTCCGAGCATCAACAAAGGAGGAGAGCATCCACGGAAGACGAGACCTGATAGTGGAAGCACTCAGACATAAGGTCAGCTCTACTTATTGTTCATTAGGATAGGCTACTTCTTTAGTCCAGGCCATCTCACTTCAAATTATTATGGTAATAATAGTATTTTAGTTTGTTCTGAAAAGGTTTTCAGTTTGTTTTAATATTTAAAGTGAAGGGGAGTTAATTCTAGCTCCTATCAAGTTAAAAGTTTGTGATGTTTAGAAGGGGGTTTTTACAGCTGTCTCTGCTTTCTCATTCTTCCTCAGAATAAAATGCTGCAGAGAGAGAATGCTGAGCTGAACAGGAGGCTTGCTGGACAAAGCGACTAACCATAAGAATTTCTGTTGTTGTATTTGCACACTCCGAAGATACTTAAATGTGGTACTTTCCCTCAGAAAAACCCTAAGCAAATAGTGGGGCACAATAAAAGGAGAGAACAGCTGTACAAGGAAGATGGGGTTCAGAAAAAACTTCAATAAAGTTTTTTGGAGTTGTTTGTCTGAAATATATATTATTGAATTCACCGTAGTTGTTTTATCTGAATTCATACCAGTAGAGGGCAGCAACGAGGTCATCAACTGTCATCCCACATTGCCGGAAGTAGTGCATGTAATAGTTGTGTCTAAACAAAATTAAGTCTTAAATATCACAGTGAAAGTTGAAAACTGACATGCAGGAATTAACTGTGACTGTAGAACTGATGTTTGGTTCCCGCAATCCTATTCAGGAATAAGCGCTATAGATGATGGATGGATGGATGGGATATGGATCAGTATAGATTGAGGAGAGGCTTCACTTTCTGTATTCTGATTACGTTGACATTTATACAGATAGACCTAAAGATCTGCGAACAGGAAGAATGGGGTATGTGTTCAAAATTCCATCTTTTAAAGTAAATACTAAAAATAACATGTACTGTAACTCAAAGAGAAAGATTAAAGAGAAGCTTAGATAGGAACTGGATTGATACAGAACTGAGACAGCTATCTATGGTGCCACCTCATACACAGACACACACAATGCGCCATAAAGGGCATTAACCTAATGGGCCTGGTAGCAAAATGGAAGAGCTATATTTCTGAGATATGTGGAAGACATAACATATCCCCAAATCCCACTGCTCTTTGGATACAGTGAATGCAAGATGGCGTTGGTGGTATAGTGGTTAGCATAGCTGCCTTCCAAGCAGTTGACCCGGGTTCGATTCCCGGCCAACGCAGAATTTTCAGAAATTTCCCCACTGTGGGGTCAATAAAGTACCTATTCTAATTCGTGTTTTATTATTCAAAACTGCTGAGGAAATACACTATAGATGTTTTATTCGCTAATAAACAACAAATGCTTTTTGGTATTAATCAGCTTTTACAGACTGAAGTTCCTTTTTTTGTAAAACTAACAAAAGCCAATTGTTTATGGTCAAAAGCTTTCTAACTGTTCACCACTTAAATGATTTGCACAGTGTTGACAACTTGGCGACTTTCTCCCTAAATCTGGCGACTTTTTTTGTCAAAAGCGACTAGCGACTTTTTGTGGTGTTTTGGAGACTGACGTGAAATTACGTATCGCTCTGCAGGTACTGTCCTCAACGAGCAGCGGGTGCTGCCGTGAGCCCCTACTCTGTCCCAAGGCTCTCACAGTAGCCTCGCGCAGAGGTCCCAGCTGCAGTCAGAGCAGAAAGGATTCCCTCATCGCTCCCTGCAAATAGGTCGCGCATGCGCAAAGCCGCCAATCCCGCCCTGGTTTACAGAGCGAGTTGTAAATGTAAATGTTTCTTCAGTGTCACACTAAAATAACTCAGGGAACGCTGCACTGAACATTGGACAATGGTACACAGGACACATGAAGCCAACACAAAGTTTGGTGTGACGGAAAGAAAGTGTGTGTATATTTGGCAGATATAGGTATTTTGGATAGGATTTAGTAATTTATGCAGTTCTAAGAACTTTTTCTTTTTAAATTCCTTCGGCTTTATTATTGTTCCACACTCCTTACACACACGGGACAACACAGTTATCAACACAGCTGTCCCCCACAAACTCACCCACAAACTGTCCACACTAGGTCTGCACCCCACCCTCTGTGACTGGCTCCTGGACTTTCTGACTAGCAGGCCCCAGACTGTCAGGAATGGCAATAGGACTTCAGCCAGCATTATCACGGACATTGACACCCCACAAGTCAAGAAGGATGTGTTCTCAGTCCCATCCTCTACACTCTGTTCACCCACGACTGCGTCGCCTCCCACAAAAACGACATCATCCTAAAGTTCGCGGATGCGCCCACAGTGATAGGTCGCATCACTGGCGGGGACGAAGCAGCCTACAGGAGGGAGGTGGCCGGTCTGGTGTCATGGTGCAAGGACAATCAGCTGGCTCAGGATCTACCTCATATAATTCCATCTGTACTGTTTACATACTCATTTTGCACATGCATAATTGCACACTCACTGCTGAGTATTTGCACTCCAAGGCTCCCACATAGCATATATTCTCTCTACAATATACTGCGTTCTTGTTGTGTTTTTATTTGCGCCCTTCACTTGCTACTTTAAAGTGCCTTAGATTTGTGATTTTACTGCCTATTTAGATTTGTGTTATTGCTCATCTACTTTATATTTCACTTGTATTGTGTGGCATTCATGTGGACGGCAAAGTAAGAATTTCATTGTACAGGGAAACACGTCTCCTAACTGTGCATATGACAAATAAACACTTTGACATTTGACCTCCAGCCCAGCAGGTGGCAGTAATGCACCTTAGGTTGGCTTGCAGATATTTATTTTATCTATTTATTTTTTTAAATATATATTCCTATGGCTCTATTATTGTTCCACACTCCAGCCCAGCAGGTGGCGGTTGGCTTGCAAACCGCCAATAAACACAAGAAGAAGAAGAAGGAGAAGAGGAAGGAGGAGGAGAGAGGAGAAAGAAGAAGAAGAAAAAGAAAAAGAAAAAGAAACGAAAGTGTGTATATTTGGCAGATATAGGTATTTATTTTATATATTTTTATTTTCCTACGGTTCTATTATCGTCCCACACTCCAGCCCAGCAGGTGGCGGTAATGCAACTTAGGTTGGCTTGCAAACCGCCAATAAACACAGTAGGAGGAAGAAGTGTTTAAGCAAGAGTGACAAAGTTGGCTTGTCTTGTCTAAAGGGTAAGTAGGTTTGATTTGATTTATTCTTAACGTGCTTTGTGTAATTAAGGCAATTGTGGTTACAGTCACTGGCAGGGGAACAGTTAAGTTTAAGATAGTATCTGTTAGCTAACTTTAACTAGCTTAATGAAGCGACGCTGAATTCTGCTTGGTTAACCGAGTTACATTTCGCTTCTGCCAGCGGAGTCATTAGAGACTGTCGCGTTGTACTGGCGGACACAGGGCATTTGTCTGTAAACCACAGCTGCCCTGTTGCTTCTCATTCGGTTTGCTCACGCACATTTTGTGGCTTGTTGGTTGTTATCCACCTACAGATGGGATAGAGTCGGCAAGAAACTGACTTCAGCAGCAGACGAGTTTAGTCAGTGTCGTCGAAGTCTGTTCCTGCTTCAGACGCAGTTTCCTCTACCTCGATCGTTTGGTTCAGTAAACCAGGACAGACGCCTATCGACGGGCAGCAGACTTTAAGGCAGCACCGCCATGGGAATACGACTGTCCCGAAGCGGCAGTAGACTGCGACTCCTCCCGGAGAGGCACTGCTCCGGGCCTCGGGGAGAGAACAGAGACTCCGATAATGATTCTCTGGATGGGCTCGACCGTCGGGAGGACATCGCTAAATTCCCATACGTGGAGTTCACCGGCAGGGACAGTATAACCTGTCCGACGTGTCAAGGCACCGGGCGGATGCCTTCAGGTGAGTAGAAACGGACAAACATCAACGAGCACGTCAATCTCCTTAAGTTTAGCAGAGATGTGACACTGGCTTTAAAAGTCTCATTTCACTTAGGACAGACTCTAGACGAGAAAAGCAGTGATGGAAGAAGTAGCCCGCTCCGATCCTTTACTGAAATACAAGTGTAAAACGCTCTGTTACAAGTAAAAGTCCTGCATTCAAAATGTTAGTTAAAAGTACAAAAGTATCGGAATCAAAGCGTACTTGAAATACCAAAAGCAGAAGTACTCATTATGCCGAACGACACATATGTATGTATCACACATATGTGTATCATAGGAGGTCACTACAATATAAATGTGTATCATATTATTGGATTGTAGTTATTAATGCAATATTGTGTTCATCACTTTAATGTTTTATTTAGCTCAGGAGGACCTAATGTTAACTACCTTTATATGGTTATAACTTGTGAATTTCCCACCAACGATCAATCAGGTCTCATGATTATTCTGTATTTTGATTAATTGATCTGATTCTGAAAAGTAACTAAAGTTAACAAATACATGTAGTTAAGTAAAGAGTACAGTATTGACCTCTGAAATCTAGTGACGTTTAAGTATGAAGTAACAGAAAATGAAAATATTGTGATGACCGCTGGCTTGGTTGAGAGGAGCTGGCCTGACCCTGTCCTATACTTGACAGTTAACTAGCCAGCAGTGTGCCGGCACCTGGCTCAACAAGGAGGAGAACACCTGGTTTGTCTTTTGTGGTTTTATTGAACACAGTATGGAGGCAAATGAAAATGCGGTCTAAACTGGCACCATGTGCTCTCTAAAAAATAAAGAAAGAATAAACAACACATCTCCCAGAACCCGACTAAGTCCCGCACCTGACACACCCACCTGTTACCCCTCTTGTACTCTCCTGTACTTGTTCCTCCCCAAACCCCACATTGGACAGAACAGCGTGGGTATTTCACCGGAACAAACAGTAACCAATACATGCACAGCTTTCAACAACAGTGTCAAACCCATTTGCACACAACAGAACACACGAACATCAGCAGCCGGTCAGGGTCGCCACAATATTCAAGTACTGTACAGATACCTTAAATTGTGTTTAAGTACAGTACTTGAGTAAATATATTTAGTTTTCACCACTGAGAAACAAGTTTATCATGTCAAATCAAGAGTGTAATATTAGTTAAACTGAATTACAAGTCTCCAAATTTGTTTAGTCAGTCCTAAATATGTAGTTTTCAAATCAAATTTATTTATATAGCACTTTAAAAACATCCAGTTGACCAAAGTATTTCACATGAGCAAGATAAAATCACAATAAATAACTAAAATAAAATAAATTGGATCAGTACAAAATAAAACGGCACAATAACACAGACCCACAGATGACATACATTCAATAAATTAAAAGGCCCTACTGTGTATTAAAAGCCAAGGTAAATAATGTTTTAAGCAATGATTTAAAAGTAGTCGGATCGGTAGCTGATCTAACATTAAGAGGTAGACTATTCCACAATTTAGGGGCTTCGACAGAAAAAGCACGGTCACCCGAACGTTTATCTTGCCATAGTTTTATGATGTAGAGCTGCAAAGCCCGTACAGTTGCAGGCTTTAAAGTGCCTTAGATTTGTGTTGCTGCCTATTTAGATTTGTGTTATTGCTCATCTACTTTATATTTCATTTGTATTATGTGGCATTCATATGGACGGCAATGTAAGAATTTCATTGTACAGGGAAACACATTTCCTAACTGTGCATATGACAAACACTTTGACCTTTATGTGTATAAACAACACACAGGTACAGTTTATGCTCCTGTTAGTGTTTGTGCTAGTCTTTTTTTAAACAACGTAACCCGATGAAACACACTGAGTAAAACTAACTTTTTCTAATGAGTGTTTGCTGTGTGTCCAACAGTATCTTAAGGGCAAACACTAATAAACATATTACATGACTTGTTACTTCTTTCCTGATAGAGCAAGTTAATGAACTGGTTGCACTGATCCCATACAGTGACCGAAGGCTGCGGCCCCAGAGAACGTAAGCAAACTGAAATTACTACTATAGTCCCTTTTCCATGGCCTGGTAACAGCTCGACTTGACTTATTTGTGTTTCCATCAGTCAAATGTTGGGGATATTACCTGGTTCTATTTTTGGTACCACCTCCATCAAGAGTCCAAGCGAGCAGAGGCGATACCAAACGGTGACGTGTAAATACTGCAGACTAGTGACTGGTCAGAGAAATCGCGTCATCAATGTGTGAGACATCCTGGAACAAAGAAAGTGCCATTTTTAAAAGCAACGTTATTTAACGCTAACCGCTACTTTACTGTAGGTAGCACGTTGAGTGTGCTGTAAAGCATAGAAAAGTGCTATACAAGTATGAAACACCATTACCATCTAACTAAAACAGCCACATACCGAACAGCATACCTCCTCCATTATTACTGTGTCAGTTGCTGACAATGTCACGTCAGTGTAATGTGGTGTCGCTATGGCAAATAGCTATACAGAGGGTGGACCCTCTGCAGTGGAAAACCAAGCACCCAGTACCAAAAGCAGTAGAGTCGAGTCAAGTTGAGCTGAGCTGGTACTGGTACCAGGTGATGGAAAAGGGGCTTTTGTACGTAGCTTTCTTGGTGCTGAGAAGATTGTTTGTATGTTTACTGTGCATTTATTTCTTCAGTGCTCAGTTTATATTTGTAAACATTATATTTTTTTATACATGTCACTGAAAAGCTCTTTGACAGCGTACTATCAAAAGCTAAACTGATCCAGGCACAAGCTTTGCTCTGTTAGTGTGGTGAGAAGAACCTGTATCTTCTGTGTGGTAGGAAGCTGTACGTGGTCCTGTCTGTTACTCTGTGCCTCCTGGTGTCTTCGCTCGTTGCCTTCTTCCTCTTCCCTCGCTCTGTGGTGGTGGTAGACGGCGGGATACGCTCGGTGACTGTCCACTTCAACCATTCCAGTAACAAAGTCCTGATGAACATGACGGTAGGTTTCCTCTCATACTCGCAGTATACAAATGAATACATACACAGAATTCAGTTCCACTTATATACTTTAGTAGTTTCAGGATCCTTGTTTTGCTTTGTTGAACCCAAAGTAAGTGGTCAGTGACTCTATTCATTATCAGAGAATCATTCAAGCTCAGAAATTCTTTAAGATATTCAAATATGTCTGTTGCTTTTCTCTGCTATAGATGATGGAACAATTTAGTGTGTTACCTTGGAGTCTGTGAAATAAGGACATTTTCACTATTTTTGCCGATCTAGAAAATAATTGTCAGAATAATTGATAATAAAAGCAGTTGTTAGTTACAGCCCTAGTCTAAATGCAGTTTCTGTTGTGATTTATTGCCCCCTGTTCACCTACTGTGTTCTGCGCTCTCACCACTTCACCATGTACCAATGATGTAAAACTCAAGTTCCCATCTAGGACTAAGCAAAATGTCACCATCGCCATCAGGATTGCTACTTTTGAAATGTCTCAAAATAGGGGGTATGTGTTTCTGAGAAACTGGACAGTCCCGAGGTCCCAGTCTGAGAAAATCTCACTTGAGCTCTTGTCTTTGTGTGACAGTCAAATGATGCATTGCTACATAATGGTACATTAGTCAAACTTTAACCTGTACACTCTGATGCAGTCCAGGACTTGACCCAAGCAAAACATGGTTTGTCTGTGCAGCTGCTTCTTCTTAATTTTTTTTAGGCCCCAGCTTCTACAGCTGTTTAGAAAACAGCTGCTTCATATTCAGGTTTTTGTCATTTCCTGTTAATGGCAGATGTTTTGTTACAAAAGCATGGCGCATAATGTTTATACCTTTCCTGCTTATTTACACTGTTTGTCTCAGAGCACGCTCAACTTCAGCAACCCAAATTTCTTCTCGGTGCTGGTGCAGAGTGTGAACTGCCAGGTCCTTTACATGAAGACGGTGATCGGATCACGGCTGCTAGACCTCGCCACCAGTATCCTGCCACTCAGCGAGCGTCAGGTGCAGCAGAACACACGCTCCAAATACACACAGTGGTTCTGTATACATAATAAACACTATCACTGGATGCTCCAGAGATACTGGAGCTTCCTGGGACAGAGTTCACCATTTCCTGTCTGTGAAGCATGCTGCAGGATGTGTCTCAGCTCTCCTGCTAAAGGACATATGCCTGAAGACATTAGTGCAAGAGCAACATCGCTGACAGGAAACTTGTGTGGTGATATTCTTCTGTCCCTTAAACTAAACAAAGAAACCAACAACGAATGAATTCTACTAACAAGTATCGTCTGTGTATCCACATCCAGATACATCTTATTCCTCTGTGCCACAAAGACCCATTGTTGTCTCAGATCCATTAACAACTCACCAGTCCATTTCCATGAACATATGCACATTAGTCTGAGTCACTTCCATGTAACATCGGCCCAATGTTTCTTGAGGTTGATTAGATAGCAGGTTTCTCAGGCAGACCCAGTACACATTGCATCATCCTATAGTCTCAATGTATGTTTGCTGTTCAAGTGCTGTCATTCCACCACTCAATACTTTGAACTTTGCTGCTGTGTAACTGATCCATCTTCTGCAGGTGAACTATACGGTCGGCGTGGAGATTGGTAGCAGTGTGCCCTACGTCTTGTAAGTGTTACGTATTCAGATGACTTCTCGCTGTCACGTAGAAACACAGTGTGTCTGTAGAGTTGTCTCACTGGCTTATAGGGATCCTCCTCTTTGTATTTAGTAATTTTTATTAGATACCTCCCTGACTTTAAGGCACCAGTAAGAGATCCTACATTTCCCATAATGCAACTCGAAGGCATCTTCTGTTAGACCCAGAGTGGATTAAGAAGGAGAGTGATGACATTTCAACTGACTCTATAAGGACCTTTTTTACATTAATGGTGGATCATGGGAACTTTAAATAGTTCCAAACATTAGCAGCAGCACCATAGAGTTACGACGACGTGTCTGCTGTCTTCCGAAGTAAGAAGCTGAAATCTAAAACAGTAATTACACTTATGACATTTTAAGTTAGCAACATGTCAAAACATATTTTACAACCTTTTTGACTGTCTCCCTCTAATGCTGGATCACTAATAGATTGGGTACCTAGCTAACTAGCTAAATTAGCTGAACTATCTACAACAACAGAACACAGAATTAGTTTGCCAGGCTGCACAAGTCCTTAAAGTAGCAGTTGCTGATAAATCCCCCAGTTCCTTACTGAAAACAGTGGACCTTATTCAGCTGTTTGGAACTATTTGAAGTTACATGTGTCATGTGGCCTGCTGCCATTTTTGACCCCTCAGTGTTGCAGCTCTTCCACCTTAACAGCTCTGGTTAGACCCTCCCTACCTTCTAAATGCCCAAGTATTTTTATTTCCACACCTCCAGTTTGTAACATGGGCTTTCTCGTGTCATTCAGTTGTCGTCTCATAGAACCAGGCCACCTGTAGACTGGCACCACAGAAAACGTTTTACGACCACTTTCAGGCTGATTAGTGAACTGACTGTGTGTCTGATTTGTGGACAATGAAGCCACATGTAAATTACACAAAGAGAAAATGAGCAGAATGACGTTTCTAAGCAGGATAGTGACTGGTACATATCTGCTGAAGAGTTTGTTCACACACCTGCCCAAATGTCAGTAATGCAACTGAACGACCTGCATTGTTTCTTTTGGTTTGCAGTGCCTTCTGCACCATGCCCAGCATCAAGGTCCACAACATTCTTGTATTTATGCAGTAAGTAACCCAGTACCTTGAGAAAGTATTTCATTTTTTTTTACTTTGTTCTTTTTGTATAATAGTTTGCTTGTGACCAATACAACATACCAATACAACAGTGTAAAAATTCTCTATTGCAAGTACAAGCCCTGCATGTAAAATCAGGCAGAAGTACAGAGGTATGAGTAGCAAAATACATTTTAACCACCAAACGTAAAAGTGCTTGTGCATGATGTTTTTCCATTATTAATACTTGTATAATATACACATACATAACAGAGTTTTTGTTATGGCTAACCGCTTTAAAGTTTTGGACAAAACAAGTTAAAACAAAACCTTTTTGCACTAAAAACAGTTTAATTGTGTGGATGCTGTAAAGCATACTTTCAGCTATACAGGCCATTCTGGTATCTACCCCTGTTCAGCTCTTCAAGGAAATTCCTGCTTGTATTCAACTTTTTTATAATGTTTATACTTTTTAATGTATTCAGCTTTATTGTTTACAATACAAGTCAATAGAAGCTCAAAGTGCTGAGTCAATGACACAGTCCTGGAGTGCCATCTGGTGGTCCATAAAATGCAGCACAATTGAGACATGGCACTTAACTCCTCTGCACCCCCCCCACACGCTCACACCCACTTATTTTACATACTTTGTGGGGTCCTATTGGACTATTTTCACATCTTAATAAGTTCAGTATACTTTCAACTAGAAAAGCCATTCAGGTATCAAAATGTTCAGCTCTTCAAGGACATTCCTACTTGTATTTATTGCATCTCATCCTTCAGATTATTCAACAAAGAACTTCAGCCATTTCTTCTTTATTCAGTAAATGCTGTAGCAGAGAGCTGTTTAAGTGCACCTGTGGTCACACTGTGCATTTAGTCTGCAGCTGATGTACTGTAACAGGCAGCATTCTGCCCTAGCACGGTCTTTATTTCTCTCTCGCCTGTTTACAGAATGTCAGTGAAAACCTCGTACATGGTGCGGACGTCCCAGAACAGCCTCGAGGCCTATCGTTACTTAGACTGCGGTTCCAACACCACATACCACCAGATGACCAGGCAGAAGCGCCTCTCCTCTACCCACTCCCCAGTCTTCAGTGCCCCTCTGCTGTGAGTGCAACAGCCTTAGACAACAAGGATCGACATTTCTCTTGAGGTGGGAGAATGTGGTGCAAACTCCAGGATGGCTTTTCCACTTGTATGCAGACAAAAACACCAAATGGTTCTTCTAACCGCATGCAGTAACATTAAACTGCTGTTTCCTGGAAAACACGAGTGTAGCAGGGAATGTCGTGAACAGCAACAGTCGCTGGTTGTGACTGCACATGAGCTTCCATTGGACAGCCCAGAGGCAGTAGTCAAGTGGTTTTGTTGTGGTTGTTGTTAAGATGACTCCAAGTGAAATGACTGAACCTGAAGCTTTAACACCTTGTGTCACTGAATATTTAATATTTCTTGGTGGGGCTTCTGCTTATCTGAACTAATCATGTTTAAAAAGGAACTTTTGCCATTTCAAACCTGCCAACTGGATGAGTCACATTTTTCCTGTAGTGTAAACAGAGCAGCAAACAGAATGAGTCATTGCCTGTTCTGGAAACGGGACAGATGCCAGGGAAAGCCCTGTTCTCAAAGGGAAATGTTTCCAGCTGACAGTCAAGTGTTAGGGGAAACTTGTCGTGACGCTGCAGAGCTCAATGTGTGTCTGCTGCTCTTGTTGGTGAAGGATCAGGAGAGTGTCTCCCACCAAAGCTCGATTGACTTTGCACTGTCACACTGTGCTGACTTAAGGCTGCTGGCCTCTGTGGATCTAATGTGAGGAATCATTTAGTGATGGTGTTTTTGCACCTTGAATGTAGCTCAGTGTATTAAACAGTTTTTGGTATGTTATTTAAATCTGTTGAAAATGGCATTTACATATTAAACATATCACAAGTGTTTGAATTTTTTTTTTCGTTCCTGTCATCTCAGTACGTTTAAGTACACTGACTAGACTTAATTTAACATATCAGTGAGGCTTGTGTTGATGTGACCTGTGATCCTTTAAATCAATTGGTGTCCTTTTTCCTCAGTCATTACAATGGACACTGCAGCCTTGAATAATATTGGTATGTTGGTACCACCAACATACATCACACAGTATTAGCTGGTTAGGATCTGTACACAGTATCCGCTCCACCATGGCCTGAACAGCCCAGGTATACAGGAGCATGTATACACCATGTGTGTGCATTGCTAGGTGTGCTAACAATGGCTCTGTCTGACTGAGTGCAAGTAGATTTACCTTATCTTTCACTGTGCATTTTACTCAACTCCTCTGTAGATTATTGAACTAAAAACCTCTCATTTCACATCACTCAGTCTGTTATCTTGCAGCCTGCTGGTTTTAAGTGTCTGCTCCGTTTGGCTGTTTGTTGAAACAGAGCGACGAAACACAAGTCTCATTTGACTTTCTTTTTTTTTTTTAAGGGACAGTTGTAACAATGTATGAATTAAGCTTTTACCAGTTTTATAAAAAAAAAAAAAAAATACAGTCCAGTATATTTTGTTCTTGGTTCCAAATCATGAGACAAAGGGAATTGTGAATGAAATAAAATAATTGATGAACTACATTTATTATTTCAGCTTTTTTCTTGTTTTTGGAGGGGGAGAGGAACATCAACAGGAAATTAATCAACAACTCTTGATCAATGAAACATTCTTTTTGAGCTTGTCCCGGTTCTAACTTTTAACGTGTGAGGATTTGCTGCTTTTGTGTTTAATAGCATCATAAACAGAATATCTGGAAACTGGAATAGACTTCTCACTTTTTCTCCAGATACTTAATAGATCAAGTGATTAATCAAGAAAACCACTGGGACCATTAACCCAAAATAACTGCAGTGACCTCAAAACACTTCAGGTACCACACTGTTTCAGTTTAATTCTGTTCTTCGTTTCTTTGCATACAAAATAGCATAATATTCTTTAAACAAAAAGACAGTTTGTCTCATATACTGTCCTATAGCTGCATGTGAAAATATATTACTACATAATATAGAGATCAACAAGAAAACAGACCACAATATATTATCGCTGTAATACAAGTAGTGTTTTTCTAGGTTTTTAACCAAACAAGGAAATGCACAGTAAAAATACAGAAAGCAGTAAGTACAAAAATATAGCTGGATAAAAAGCTTATTAATACGAGAGTGCCTTGTCTTTGGTAAGTACATTGTCTTCAGGCCGCCTGTGTTCAACTGCCTTCTCTTTGATAGCCTGTCGTGTGTGTGTGTGTGTGTGTGTGAATACGTTCTGTAAAGGGTTTGGTCACAACATGCGAGGCAGTGAATGAACAAACATTTCATGCAGCGGTGTGGTTTAACGCTGTACGTCCTTTCCCATCGAGCTATTTCCCCGTTTCACATACATTCCCACATACAAGTGGACGTTACTATACCCGGCATATTTACCAAAATATCCTCACCATACCAAAACACACTCTCACACACTAGTTTAAAATAAAAATCCTCCACATGCCTTTGCTTTCATTAGAGAGTTGACTCTCACTCGCTCTGAGTATTAAGTGTTTGTGAGAGGACAAAAAAACCCCTATGATTGTCGATTATGATTAAATGTGTCACACTGGTGAAGGTGCTGCGTTGAGACTGAAGGCCAGAGTGGCTCTAAATATCCTGTGCGTGCATCTGAACAATCTAGCTATAGAAGTTAAGTTACATCATCACGGCTTTGGTCAAATTGTTTAAAACAAAACGAAGGATTTTGTAACAACAAACTGTAAACACCCACTGGTTTAAAAGGCAGTTGTATTTAAACAGTGTAAGGAAAGAAGCTCTTTGTAACAGCTCCACACAGTCTGTGTCCAGCTGCTCCATCACTTCTGTCATCGGTTGACTGGACACCAGTCTGACCAAGGTGATGAAAGCTGTTTAACCAGGGACCTGTATCGTGACGCTGGTTCAACTTAGTCTGGCTGGTTATTGACTGACTCAGTTAACTGTCGGCTTATGTACGAGCCATGAGAATTGAGTGTGAGTGCATTTGATTTAATTTGAACAGTTTCATTGGTCCACTGTGGCCTGTTCGGTAATTTCATTGGTCTGATGTGATGAGGCTAAATGTATTGGCGGCATGAAGCTCGTTAGCCCGTAAAAATCCATAAATTAGCCGCATCGTTGTTTAAGCCGCAGGGTTCAAAGCTTGTGAAAAAAGTAGCAGTTTATAGTCCGGATTTTACGGTAATGCTGCATTTATAGGTTGAGCTAATTAACAGTGTGCACCATTAAATGCAGCTACACTTGCCATTTGTTAGTGTGATGAACTGTTTCTATTTCCGATAATTATCACAGTAGGCAAAGTGATGCTATTGTAAACTCCATGTGAGGATCCTGTTTTTCCACTAATAAACCTGGTCAGATTACAGGCCGTTGACAATATCTAATCCTCTAAACCAGCGGTTGCCATGGAGTCATTTAGCTGTAGGCTTAATGTCTGCAGTGCACACACAGATGTATGAAGCTATGTAAAAATGTCGATACTCTGGTAAGGTCTATTGTTTATTTAGTCATGTCAGATATTACCCACAACCCTCACCCGCCCAAATACTATGAGGAACCCTCCTCATTCTCCGTGGTTGTAACACTATAGAGCATGGCTTTGTTTTAACACTGAGTTTGATGTGTTTTCATCTAAGTGTACTTTACCACATTTCAAATGTAGCGTTACTGTATACTGCATGGATGGATTAGGAGATAATGAGCCCCGAGCACAGATGCGTAAAGAACCCCATAACAATGGAGCACCACCCGGAAAAGACCCAGGACTAGAAGCAGCACAGTGGTTGCCATTTTGTTCTCTAATTGGAGTCATTTGGTTTCTGTTTTGTGTCTTTGAAAATTTTTTTGAGACTCTTTGTGCTTGTTTTGCATCTAATTTTAGTTTGAGTCTTTGTGGTCATTTTGCATCTTGGCCTTTTTGTCTGTCTTTGCAGTATTTTTGTGACTATGGCTGGTTGTTATGCATTTATTTGTAGTCATGTTTTGCATGTTTGTGATCATTTTGCATGTCTTTGCAGCTATTTTGTGTCATTTTGTATGTCTGTGTAGTAGTTTTGTGCCTCTTTATGGTTGTTTTGTCTTTTTCAAGTCATTTGACTTTTTAACAAGAAGTGTTACCAGCCAGCTCACAGGCTGTGGCACAGGGGCTCCTGGGCTGCGTCCAGCAGGCCAGTTCTGTAATCCATCCATGGTATATTGTCAGCCTTTTAGGAAAGGGGGTGTTTAGACTCAGACAGACTGGCAAATTAAACCAAAAAGCATTAATGCGGATGATGGACAAAGATTTTCAACTGTCTTCTGAATGTCTTTACATTTAGCAATAACAAAATCTTTGACACATTGATCCATGACAGCCATTGCTGTCAGTAAATGTCTTCTCAGCAGTATTTGCTGCATGTCACTGCTTGTTTGCTTTCCTCTCTCTGTCTCCTATCTGCGCTGCGACAGCATCACCTTGTTGATGAAGTTGACGATGGCAGAGGCAGGCTGTTCGGGGTCCAGCTCAGCAAAGAGGTGGCAAACATTCTCAGCTAAGCTTCCGGGCTTCTTGGCGACGAATCCAAACACCCTGAGAGGGGAAAGGTGGAGAAAGCCAGAGGATGTGAGTGTTACAATATGTAATACGGGTTCATGTAGGACTTGCTTTTCATTAGTAAATCATGTTTGCTGGAATGATTTTGCCAAGGCTCACACGCAATCTCATGCCATGCAAATGCTTTAATATCACTGCCTGCTCAGTCAGGAGTGGCCCTGTGTACACCTACACACACTCATGCAAAGACTCACTTCCTCTGACACAAACTGAGCACTTACTTAACAGTGGTGTTGTCTGAGTTAGTCCACCTAAACCAGAGAGAGAGAGAGAGAGAAACTGGGCTCAGACCTACACGCACACAGGCAGAGCTGCCAAACAAGCTGACACAGCTGCAGCCTCAGCCACAACCAGCATGCTTGCAAACATAAGGACTTGTCTCTTGTGCACGTTCGCACGCATTCATCAGCAATAACAATGCACACATAAAACAGACGTGCAGATCAATGCGAGGGCTTACAGCAACAATGCAGCGAGTGATCATGGATGCAGTGAATGACTGACTGCTCCTGTTTTATGTTGGTTATGGTTCCAGCTACAGAAGTCAAATTATTCTTTTTATTTCTTTTAATTTCCTACCTTCTGTCCTTAGGGTCGATGCTGCTGAAGGTTACACTGTTCACTGGGTAGTGTCTCCTGAAGAAAACCCTAGAAAAAGACAGTGCAGATTACTGTACTGAAACAGTTGTCCCTAAAATGTCATGAAAGCAGAGCACAGTAGTTGCAGCTACAGCAACAGATACTAATGGTACAAATCATATATTTGTTTAACTAATGCACAACTGACTCATGATAATTTAATGCATGAATTATTTCAAGATGTTTTATGGATTCCTGTTACCATTAACAAATGATCAAGTCACTATGGCTTTGTGATTAGTTCAATGTTAAATCATAAGCTAGGTGGTGGGTGTTAGTTTTATTGTGTTCTTGGTGAAACAAATGGCGCATAATATGGTAGAGAATGCTGCACTATAACCAAAAATCTTTAGCAGGCGCATTTTGACAAAATAGAGGGGAATGGGTTGACATGTTACTGGCCCTCCTGTACTTTTTGTAGTCACCTTTTTATAGCTTAAATGTGGTGTAAATATATTTGGGTCTGATTGTCAGTCTGGCTGCAAAAAAAGCTTAATATTTCCATGAGAAAAAGTACAGTTTTATTTGTAGAGAAGCTGATCAAAAGCATGGGTGTGAAATAAACGTCTGTGTGTGTGTGTGTGTGCGCGCGTGTAAGTGAATGCAGTTAATTTGGTGGCATATCAATAAATGTAGTGAAATAAACGTCTGTGTGTGTGTGTGTGCGTATAAATGTAGAGGTACAGTATTAGTAAAAGGATGTTATTATACATCTTGCAATAACTAAAGCATTAAATTATCATGTGTTAGTTAAACATTACTTTTAAGTATATGATTTGTATTATTATTTTGAAGTGTTACCACAGCTACAGTGTTGTATAATAATCATTAATTAGATAATAACTAGTGGTTGTTAAATGTCATCATGCTTCTCTGACATTAACGGTGTGGGATGTTTCTTACCTGCGTTGGCTGTCAGTCAGTGTGATGCCCTGTGATGTCACCTTGAACTGTACGACAGTGGCGGCGGGACGCGGGTTACGACCCAGGGTGGCATCTGTTGCCTTAGCGATGGCCTGAGGCCCGGTCAGAGACTCTGTTTCCACTGAGTTTAGGTAGAGGACGTTGCAGGCTGATGGGAGAGGCACAGAGAGAAAGGTGAGCATCCTGAGCAGTGACATCACACATAGACCT